GTGAACCACTAAAACAGGGAGCTAAAATTTCATTCAACAACAATATTTTCACTTGAACAGAACTCAAAGTTCTCAGGAACCTCAAAACCATTGTACAAGTTTAAGAGGGTGTAACTATGGCCTACTAGACTATAAACTTCTTGAAGACAAGGAATTATATCTTATCCTGGATCTCCATAATTCCCTGAACAATGCAGGTTCTTAAATGAGTGGAATGGGGAGCTGGCCCGGTGGCGCAGCGGTTAAGCGCGCACGTTCCGCTTCTCGGAGGCCCGGGGGTTCTCGGGTTTAGATCCTGGGTGCAGACATGGCACCACTTGGCAAAAGCCACGCTGTGGTAGGCGTCCCACGTATAAAGCAAAGGAAGATGGGCATAGATGTTAGCTCAGGGCCAGTCTTCCTCAGCAAAAAGAGGAGGATTGGCAGTAGTTAGCTCAGGGCTAATCTTCCTCAAAAAAAAAAAAAGAGTGGAATGGATTAGTTTATATTCATTTATTTATTAATTCACTCACTCAACATTTATTCAGCACTCAATTCCTACTCAGTGGCAGGCTTTGTGTTGGCTCAGAATTTTTTTAAGTGACACTGAATTTTAGCCCTTAATAATATAAAAGAAAATGATCACCATTTCTGTCTCCTTTCTCTCATTCTTGATCATTAACTTGACTGGAATAATATATTTCTATATGTTTTAATTTTCAAATGATGGGCATATATCTAAACGTAGCTAACATTAATATAATGTCTAAAATCCATTTTCCTTCTCCCTTGACCCTGAAACAAAATTCTATCACAGGCATCATACTGACAATAATGATATCATTTGACAATCCCCTCAGTCACAGTTGCTGGATTGGAGCCCATGATTAAAAGCGTCTCAGCAACAGGATTTTTTCAGCAAGATCCAGCAGCAACTGACTCCTTGTTTTGACTATTCGACTTCTGTTTATCATTGTACCAAATCTTTAAGACCTTCCTGCCCCCTTAAAGAATAAGCCAAACACGTGAAAACAACACGGCAAATAACATTTGTATAGTATGTTAAAATTTATAAAGAGTTTCACAAACTGTACATTATCTCCTCTAGTCTTCACAACTCATATGACAGATGAGAGAACTGAGGATCCAAGCTGCGGATGCCCGGCCTGCCCAGAGCGGCAGAGCTGGGATTCTGAGTCTGAACCGAGTCTCCTCATGCTAGCAGCCCAGCGCTCTCGTCGCAGCAGCTGCCTCTTTGCTATGAAAGCTCAGAAAGCTGTACAGACTGAGCACACGAAAATAAGTCCATGAAAGGTTATGCTATGAAACAGTAGATAGTGGTTGTCAAAGCTGTCAACAGAGCCTCAGAAAAAAAACAAAGCTCTATGTTTAATGAGACCAAAATTGGCCAGATGTTGAGAAACAAAATAGGCAATAGATGGGGTGAAAAGCAATTTAGTATAGACTTAAATTTGATGATCAACAGAAATTTGATATTCACAAATCCTCAGGCACCATAATTTATAACTAGCCCTCTCATTCTGTTTGCTTTAGAAATAATTGGAAATTTTCTAAATCTCTTCTTAAAAACAGAATTAAAGAAAAAAGCCAAAAACTATGATCTTGTTTTTCAGTTCAATACGCCATAGTAAAAATTAAGAAACAGATAACTGAAACGTTCATCTGATACATGATGCCCCAACAAGAAAGACAGGCAGAAATATACTTAGGCCTTTTATTAACATTTAACTTACTGCCAAACAGAGGAGAGCAAACAGATTTGAGGGCTGAAGCACCGCTGGATTCTTAAACTTTTACACATGAAACTCTGAATAACTTGCATAAAGTAGTTGCTATTAACCTTTAGGGTAAGAATTCAAATTCCAAAAGACCATCAGTAATAACAGATCTTCACTAGACAATGAATTCACTTCTTCACACTGATTCCCACTGACTGAGCGGTTACGATGCGGCAGGTACTAAACCGGGCACGTTTGTTCAAATACAAAGAGAAGTTGAAATACAACAGAAGACATGTAAACAACAGGGGATTCCCAACCTTCTTACTATAAATGGAGGTACATCATCATATGTTACAGTAAACAGCCATTCAAATGCCACAGTTGTCCTTGGTCTACCAACTCTGTTTAACATGCTTTTTCTATTCTTGTGTCACTATTAACATTAAGTTGCTCAAATCTTGTTCAACAGCCAGGAAAGAAAGCCTTTTTTAATTCAAGGATTATAGTGTGTGTTAACTTGAAGAGACCTCTCCCCCACCCATTAAATCCACTGTTTTCATTTTTAGTTAAAATGGTAAGGTCTGATTGATCCAGTGTGGATTTTGGCCTGTTTTACTCACTGCTGTACCCTTACCGGCTAGAACAGGGCCTGGCACATAGTGTATATATTTGCTGAATGAATGAATTATTCCTATGATCATCACGTAATAACATACCCAAAAACTTCTCACGTTAATTGACTTCTTAATGCTTTTAAACTTGACAGAAAGAAACCCCCAATGTTTACATCAGCCAGCTGCTTGTGAAACGCTATCACTCCATACGTGTAAACAGCAGCATGCGCGAGGTGTACAGCTATGCTAAGACAACGCGGGTGCCATCAGCCACCTCACACATTTCTCTAAGTCCCAGGGCTAGAAGAGCTAAATTGTAAAAGACGATGAGGACCCAATTAAGCCTATATCCACGTGCTGAGCATTCTCTTTTGTAAACTAATTACTTCTCCACTGAAATCACGTCTTTATCAAGGCCAAGTACCATTCAGAATTAACATTCTGAGAAGAACCAGAAAATAACAGTCCCACAGAAATTCTGCGCAGAGAAGCTGTGATTGCCACTAAGTTGCCCCATGAACCTGTTGTCCTTCTCCCCCTCAGACTACTGGATTCAATTTCTATTTAAAGGGACACTGCTTTTCTTTAGGAGTGAAAAAAAAGCCAGTTTGGAGAAAATCCCTTTCAAAAGGTTCGAAAAAATCTATCTGCTTGGAATTGTCCGAATAATGTTTGCTGAGAAAACGATCAGCAGCTCCTCTCGAGTCTGGAGCGGGGCCACAGGGCATGATTTGGGGGTATCGGCTTCGGCCCTCGGTGCCAAGTTTGAGATCCCATAAGAGAAGGAGAAGCGACAGAAGGGGCAACGTGGCCACCTGCCCAGTCTGCCGGGGGCCGCGGGGCCACCGTGCGCTCCCAACTTTGTCAGCCCTTCCCCGCGGCGCAGATGCTCCTCGCGCCTCCCGGCTCAGGCCCGCGACCCGCAGGCCGGAGCGGGGCCGGGGGCCACCAGAGGCCCGCCGGCCCGGGAGCGGCCCTCGGGCGGCGACGCGGGCCGGGGGCGCGGGCCGGAGGGGGCTCGCCGCCCCTCCCCCCGGCGGCCCGGGCGCTCCCAACGGCGGCGCGGCGGCTCCCTCGGCCAGCACCCGCCGCGCCCTCCCAGCCCGCCGGCGGCCCCGCCGCGCCCGCGCCTCCGGCGGACCCCGGCGAGCCGGCCGGGGCCCCCCGGGCAGCGCTCCTCGGGGCCCCCGCGCGAGCATGCGGCCTAGTCGGGGTTACATAACGGGGCCGGGCCCCTCCAGAGCCGGCTGCGGCCGCGGGCCGGGCCGGGGGCGGGGGCGCCGCCGCTCACCTGCCGTAGATGCCCTCGGTGATCCGGTTCCGCTTTAGGGGGCGGCGGAGTTTACTGCAGTCGGCGTTCCGCCGCTTCATCCTCCCGCTGGGGGGCCGGTGCCCGCGTCGCCGCCGCCGCCGCCGCCTCGCACCTCAGCCGCCGCCGCCGCCGGCCCGCCCCGCGTCGGGCCTGGACTCTACCCCTGGGGCCGGTCACACAGACATGGAGCCAGCACCCGGGGGAGGGGGGCCGGGGGGGGTTCGGAGCCTCCTCCGCCTTCGGAAACAAAGAAATGACAATTCCGGGGCCCGCCCGCCCCAGCACCAGCCAGCAGCCTGCCCCGCCTCCTCGGCTCCGACGGACGGCCCTCGGGGCCAATCGAAGGCACCGCCACGCCGCTGCCGGCCAATCCTAGGGCCTGTTAGGGCAAGGTGGCCTCTAGAACCCGCCTCTTTGAAGGACAGAAAAATGCGCCAATCATTACAGCGGCTGGGCCCGTGCCTGGACCTATCAGAAAAGATTTAAATAGAGGCTTATAAATAGGCCCTATAAATATAACATCCTATATTATGTCTTGTTGCGAAGGTCCACTTCATTGTTATTGGGTTGCGTTTCATTGTATTACAATCCATACTAGAGCATACCGTGTATACTCATTGTGGGCCACCACTAGCACCCGGGGAAATCGGGAGGCCTGGGTTTGCGGCATGTGCTGTTTCTGTGCTGACATGTGCTCCAGTCAGTCGCGTCATTATGTAAGGGGCTCGCAGCATCCTCCCCATCCTGGAGACTCCGGGGGCAGCGCCGCGGGCCTTTTCTGCGGATCCTGGAGCGCTCGGCCAGGCCGGCCGCGTCAGCGCGCGACGGGGGTACGAATGACAAAGCAAACCCCACAGACACACACACACCCTGTCAGCTTCCCGCGACGTGGTGACAGCGAGGCGGCCAATCGGAGGAGGCGCGGGGCGGAGCCTCCGCGGTCCCGCCCCCCTGGAGGCGCGTCACGGGGGCGGGGCCGTGGGTGCGCGCGACGTCGCGCGAGGCTGCCGGGGGCGTGCGGGGCGGTGCGGTCTGGGCTCCACGTCCGCAGGGCGGGCTGGGCGGCGGGCTCGGTGGACGCCGCGCCTGCTGGACCCGGCGAGCGTCGGCGTCGGGGGCGTGTCTGCCCCGCGGCTGGGGGCCGGGGCCGTGGCGGTGGAGGGCCAGGTGAGCGGCTGCTCGGCGCGGGCCGGCTCCTCGGAAGCGGGTCCGCCGCGCCAGCGATTCTCCTGGCCTACCATTCCTAGAGCGCCGACTTTGTGCCTGGCACCGTGCGCTGGGCTTTGCATCTGTTTGTTAATTTTCTCCTCATACTCCGTTGCAATGCAGGTAGGGCAAAATGACAATTAGAAAAGATGGCAAACGTTTTCTTTTAAAGAGAAAGAAAAAGAATGTATGTCGTTACAGAAAACTGGGACAAGGTACAAAAGGAGCGAGGGGGAAAAAAATCACCCGTGGATCTCAGCACTTCACACAACCACTGTTATCATTCTGTATTTTTTCCTTTCTTAACAGTTTCCCCCCGTGAGTGAATAGATTATTACTATGAATGTTGTTATTACTATTATGAAATAGAATAGTGATCATACTAGATATTTAATTTTGTATCCTGTTTTTCACTTAATGTAAGCATTTTTACATGTTATAATGCACCCTTCCTAAATACTTCTGATGGTTGCAAAATCTCCTATCAAGTGGCTGTATTAACCTAACTAGTCACCAACAGTGGGACTGTTAGATGGTCTTCCAGCACATTTTAAAAACTTCCAGGAAGTACTTGGAATCTTGTTTTGCCCTGGGTTGGGTAGACCCCTGTGATCACCCCCATTCATCAACACCCACCCCAAGTGGGATCTTGTAATTTATACCAAATGTGTCAGCCTCAACTGCTGCTCTGTTACTTTATTCTGTTACAGATCTTCAAAGATCCCTCAGTGCCTGAAAGAGAAAAGATCCTCTTTATTGTGCCATCTAGAGCTGGTCACAATGGGGACCCACTGTTTGTGGATGGATCCTTTTCCAGTCCTCCCCAGTCAAGCAAGTCCACTACACTCAAACCCGCTACAACCTTATCTCCCCATCTTCCTGCTTTAACTCCCACACAGAGCATCTCCATCAGTGCTGCTCCTAATTTGTGGTTTCTTGGTGAGGTTTGTCCATCCGTCTAAACGAAAAGTTTCTTGGGGGTTGGATCTGTACCTTGTAGAGATGCAGTTTAGAAAAATTGGCAAGAGTATATGCTTTTTCAGACCAGGAATAAAATTCCCGATTGGCTGCTTACTAGCTCGGGCCAGTTACTGGATCTCTCAGAGCCTCTGTTTCCACTCAGGTTCGTTTTAAGACCTGCGGGATAATGAAGTTTCAGGGTCAGGCACACAGTAGGTAATGGCAAGCAACTACCGTTAACAGTATACTCGTTTTTCATCCCTCACCTCTGCTCCAGAATGTTGATAAAGTGGCACTGGGCGGCCAAGGAAAACAAACTCTGAGCTCAAAGTTTCACTGAGGCTGCCCATCATTGTGAAAGGATCTGAATGAATGCTCTGCTTGGAGCAGCAGAAAAACACTTCAGCTGACAAGGCAGATTGGTCCATGAAGGAGGGTATAGGCATTACTCAAATCAATATGGCTAAAGGCTTGAAGGCATAGGCCCGTGGTAAAGTCCCTGCTCCAAACTCCATGGGGACCTGAAACCTGAATAGTCGTCATATCCATGACTGCAAGGTTCCAGATCACCTGGGACTAGGTCAACTCTGTGAGGTTAGGGGCCATATCTGTGGTCTTTTCCACTCCCTTTTGTGTTCCTGTCATCCAGGATAGTGCCAGGGCACACTGTGGAATGGACAGGTGAGTAATCCAGAGAAAAGATGGGACATGTGCTGGCTTTCTGGAGCTCACTGTCTAGCCTGCCTTTGCATAGATTTCTGACAAGGGCATTCCATGCTGTGGCAGAAGTGTGGAGTGCCTGGGAGCTATTGGGGTGTGTTCATGAAAGTTGTTGTTGGGTATAGGGCTACACGGGAGCAAAGAAAGGGAGGAGAGAATCTTAGGGTGATGGCCCGAGAAGAAGCAACGTGGAGGTCTGGGTTCCAGTCCCAATTCTGATGCCATCTCACTCGTGTCTTTAGCTGAGTCACCTGCCCGCCTTGTGCCAAGATGGCTTCTGGAGACATTTCAAGCCCTATGTTTAGAAGCAGGTCATGTTAGCTCCATATTACAGATGAGAAAACTTAGGCTCAGAGAAAACAAGGTCACACAATTGTTATGGTAGAGCAGTTTAGCTCAAGGCACAAGCTGAGCAAGATCAAGCCTTGATGCTACAGGCACATGCTCTGGTGCCTGTAAGTGGCTGTTGATGGTTAGGGCTGTTGATCTGGTGATTGGCTGGAGTGGAATGATGGGAATGGCCTCCCTGCCGAGAGCCCAAAAGTGGCCATTTTAGGGATGAATGAGTAAGACCGGGAAGGGAGATCATTTGCTCTCATTCAAAAGCCCAAGGGCCAGACAGGAATTCAGGGCTGTCCCTCCTCTTCTGGGAATTTCTGAGAGGCAAGGGGTTGGGATTTGCATTTGAGCTTCAGCTGAGCTCAGAATAGCCCTGGAGAAAGGCTTGTCTCTCATACCCTGTTTCACAAATAAGGAAATTGCATTCCCACCTGTTTCAGCAGCTTCCATCCCCTCAAGCCCACCAGACAGGGCTGGCCCAGCTGCCTTGACTTTCTTCTTGTCCCACAGGAGTCACAGAAGAGTCCAGACATTGGGATGGCCTCCGCTTATACATGTGTCTGTATCCCCCAGAGAACCCTGTTACTGGAGGATGTTCATTGTAGTGTTTAGAACAGAAACAGTTTGGAAATTACCCAGATATCCCACAAAGTGGGCTGGTCAAACAAATGACTCATGGAAATCAGTGTAGCGTGGAGAAAGATCGCACAGAGCGCTTACTATGTACAGTCACTGCTCTAAGAACCATATGCATTTTTTTAAAGTTTTGTGTGTGTGTGTGTGTGAGGAAGATTGGCCCTGAGCTAACATCTGTTGCCAATCTTCCTCTTTTTGCTTGAAGAAGATTGTGTCTGAGCTAACGTCTGTGCCAATCTTCCTCTATTTTGTATGTGGGATGCCACCACAGCATGGCTTGAGGAGTGGTATGTAGATCTGTGCCTGAGATTTGAACTGGCAGACCCAGGGCCACCAAAGCAGAGCATGTGAACTTAACCACTACGTTACTGGGCCGGCCCCTCTAAGTACCATATGCATTTTGATGTAATCCTGACAACAACCCTATGAGGTAGAGATTATTACTGGCACCGTATTACAGATGAGAAAACTGTGGCACAGAGCAGTTAAGTAATTTGCCTAAGGTCCCACAGTAGGTGAGGGAGAGAGGATTTTAACCCAGGCAGTGTGGTGTCAGAGCCTGGGATCATGCTATAGTGTTGTAGAAAGATTTTCTTGGCTTGGAAACTGCTTATGATATACTGTTCGTGAAAAAAACCAAGTTACCAAACAGTATGTGCTGTATAATCCCATTTTTGTAGGGAAAAAAAAACAAGGCATAAATTCAGAAGAATAGTAAAAACTTGAAAGGGTGTATACACAAAAAAATAGAGCTGGTTTTTGGAGGTGTTGGAATCATGGGCGCTTTATGGAAACTTTAAGCATCTCTGCATTTTCAAAATGTTCAACAAGTAAACATGCCATGCTTGTGCAGTAGTAAGAATTGCTGACATTTATGGGGCGTTTTCTCTACATCTGATACTTTATGTCACTACCTTATTTAGTCTTCACAAGCGCCCTATGAGATTGGCAGTGGTTTTCTCCACTTCAGAGATGAGGAAACAGACTCAGAGAGAATGACTGTCTTACCCAAGGTCACCCAGCTAATAATTGGCAGAGCTAGGATTTGAACCCAGGTCGCCTGGCTCCAAAGCTCATGTTTGTTGACTGAATGAATGATTGACTTAGCCATCCTTTAACCAGGCATGCCTAGAGGAGGATCACACCTTTGGTGTGGATGAACTTCCAGAGGAGGATGGAGGACTCTCCTGCCTCCGTGGTCACTGCCCATGACTGAGCTTTATGATGCTCGACTCAGGTGAGGAGAGCGCAGCACAGCGAGTACTTTCATGAAGCCCTGTTTTTACAGAAAATGCATGACTACATGTGAAAGCTGCAGTCTCTCTGACTTAGTGCATCACACCAGGAGGAAGCTTGGCTCCTCTAACCAGGATGCTGCAGTCATAGCACCCCTTGCCCACCTTCATTTCCACAGCACAGGTGGCCAAGCACACTTACACAGTTTCACATTTGTAATAACTCTGTGAGGAAAGCAGAGCCGCCCGTCTTACCTGACTCATAAGGAAACTGAGACTGTGGGTGGTTTAGTAGATGGAAGGCAGAATTGCACAGTAGTCAGCAGCGCAAGCTATGGCATCAGATGGATCTGGGTTGGGCCCCAGCTCTGCCATATAGTAGCTTTGTGTCTTTGGGTACTCACATCACATCTCTGAACAGCACTTTCCTCATCTGTAAAATAGGAGTGATCATGCCTGTACTCACAGACTTGAGGGCAAGATTAAAAGAAATAATGTATGCAAAATGCTTGGTCCAGGGCTTGGCATTCCAGAAATGGCAGCTGTTATTCATTCAATAAATATTTATTGAGCATGTACTATGGATGGAGCACCAGGTGCTGATGATACCACAGTCAGATGTCCATGTTCTCATGTTGCTTGCATCTGAGTTGGGGAGGTTGAGAGCACGCAGGGGTCTGGTGGGAGGAGAGTTTCAGGGAAAAGGAGCGGCAGATGCCCAGAGGGCTTTTTTCCCAACATTTTATTATGAAAAATTTCAAACACACAAAAAATGTTGAAAGAATTGTACAGTGAGAAGCCATTCACCTCCCACCTAGATTCAACAATGAACGTTCAACTATATTTGTTTTATAACCTATCTTCCTTAGATCCCTTGTGCTTTTTTGTACCAGGTGACCTGCCTTGAAGCTTTGGAGACAGAATATCTGGAACTGTAGTGAGAAAACAGGGGCTTTTTGCAAGAGTCAGAAGAGAAGGGAGAAAACTCCCCTTTTGACAAATCTGTTGGGAGAAGCCAACAGCGGGGCATGTCCCTTTATTAGAGAGAGCCTCTCTGTTCAGAGAGGAGCTTTGCCTTCTCCACAAGTGGTCAGTCCCTCACTGGGGCAGGATCAAGATACACAGGGATATAGGGTGCCATGGAACCAGCTGCCACCCACACTGAGTTTGCCAGCCGGTAAACACCACCGTCAGGGGCTGCAGGCGCAGGGGCTGGCGATGACTGGAAATCTTTAACGTCGTCTGGCTGATGTCTGGTGCCCCTGGGCAGGTGGGTCCGGCTGCCTGGTTTACCAGCTGCTGGTACTGGTTCCAGACCAGCAGGACTCACATTCACTTATCCGCCACAGAGGGGAGTCCCTCCTTAAAGGAAGCCAGTTTATAGGAAGTGCTGACTTCCAAAAAAAGGCCAGAAGTTGTTTGTTGTGGTGAGGAAGATTGGCCCTGAGCTAACATCTGTGCCCATCTTCCTCTATTTTTTTATGGGGTGGCCGCCACAGCATGGCTTGATGAGTGGTGTATGTCTACGCCGGGGATCTGAACCCACAAACCCCAGGCCTCCAAAGTGGAGTGCACGAACTTAACCACTACACCACCGGACCAGCTCCAGAAATTGTTAAATCTAGAACCAGAGATGGTGAAAAGGGGAATGGGGACCCTTGACTTCTGACCTCTAGGGGTCAAGGCAGCTTCTCTTTATATACTATTGAGGTAGCAGAGGGCTTAGAATCCTGTGTCCCTAGACTTTTAGAATTGGAAGAAGACACAGAAGTTATCTGGGCTGGAATTAAGTGGTCAGACACCCAGGTGTGAAGTCGGACTGCCTCTGGCGTAAATCCCAGCACCACTTACTAGCTCTGTAACCTTGGGCAAGTCACTAGACCTCTCTGTGCCTCAGACTCCTCGTTTGTAATATAAGGCTAGTAGGACCCACTTCACAGGGTCACTAACTGAGTTCATACATGTAAAGTGCCTAGAACAGTGCCTAGCAATGGTAAGTGCCTAGCGTGTGTGAGCTCTGGAAAACATCTAAAGCAAAAGTAACCAGTC